GTTGTCATTTTGACAACACCAACCTTAGTCATCCAGAGAAGCTTAGGAACATGTTAAAAGTTCAGTGCTGTCACTTCAAGACAGGGATCACTTGGTACAAATGTTTTGTCAATAGAACTCAGAAACGGCATTACAGAGGCTGGTTTTGAGTGCGAGTGGATCATCCACATGACTGAGGATGTGGTTACAGTAGTTCTTTCAAGACCATCAGCTTTGTAGAATGTAACATTTCAAGAAGGCTGTCTTGGAGGAAAAAAATTTAATTCTCCTAGAATTCTCCCATCTAGAGAAAAACACTAATCACTGTCATCTTCTTCATTGTTCAGGAGAGGAAATGGACTGAAAAAGAAGGAAACAACTGACTCAAGGGCACACAGCTGCTTTATGATGTGGCTGGACTCAAACCCAGTGCCTTGCCCTCTCCACCCAGCTTTACTCCATGAGGCAAGTTTACCAGCTAGTTCAGATATACATAATGGTGATCTAAAGAATACCTAGTCGATTCTTATTTCATTTTTTAAAAGTTATATATTTTCTGAGTCTTTGCACATTTGCACTATCAATTCATGAAGGGTAATTTTGTTTCTGAGCTGCAACCAGAGCTCCCTCTAATGGTTGTTTATTTAGACAGCAAATTCTTGGAAAAATAAAAATCTGCCTTTTGTTTGTTTGTTTTTTTAGACTTGAGTCTTTATTATTATTTATTTAATGAATTCCTATTTCCCTTGGTAACTAGAATATTTACATTCTATTCAGTCTATAACTTCTCAAAGAGTATGATATTCCACCGCTGAAAATTGTTCAGTCACAGACTCAATTGATTTATCACTGAGTGGGAGGAAGGGCTAGCATTTGTGCAGGATGATTCTAGGTTCCCTGATTCGTATTGAATTCCTACCTCAGTCTTGGCAAAACACTGAAACAAATTGATAAATGCTGATGACTAAACACATTCTCTTCATAACCCAGCAAGTTGTCAACTGACAATGAATTCAATTGGCAAGTAGCAATATGAATTATCTTAATTTTTTTCTTCAATTTGATATAAACTTGCTACACACTTTTGACTGGCAATGATATGTCATTTAAGCTTTCTTAGGACCATTCAGGATAACACTGAGGAATATCATGTTCTGTTTTTCAACCCAATCTTACTCTCTCCAACTATTTGTCTTGGAGATTATTCAATAGCAACAAACAAAATTTCCATTCATTTTCAACTATACATTATTCCATTATGTGAATGTCTAATAAGCAGAGAGTTTCTATTAATGAAATTCAAGTCAAGAAATCTTTATTCAAGTCTGAAGGTAGAATGAAATACATTAGTCATGAATGACATTTAAAGACAAAGTAGAAAGACTGAGTAGCACAAAACATTTATAAATAGAGTGGTTTTTATTTGCTCTGTCTTCATGAGAACATAAGGAGAATCCCAAGCAAGCCGAGACGCCATCCTTGCATTTCTAGATGAGCACATTGCCAAAGCTCTCTTTTCTTTGTCCTCCCTTTATCCCACTCACTTTCCACCCAAAACCCCCAACATATGTCCCAGCAGGACTGCTCTACTACCCGTTTTGGGCAAAGTGGTTTCTCTTCTGGTTGCATATATTTGGGGTCATCTTAGCCTTTGCCTGTGGCAAATCTGTTGTTGGTTTTCTTCCAATTTTGTTTGAACTGTTATTATGTGTCTAAGATAAAGGTTTTGCAAAGAACCACCTGTTATGTCCTTTTTTCACTTATTTTATTGTACGTTTAGTTCTTGTAGACATCAGCTGCCATAATATTAACCTGTTTCCCACTTGATTTTCATACTTTTGTTTGTGATTAGTGAAAATATGTTTTTTCTTCACCAGTTTATGTCCAGATTTACCCTTTATCATTCTATTTTCTGTTCCTTCACTTATTTCCTAGTCTTTCCTAAATTTAAAATTTTGCTAGAAAGAGTTTTGTTAATTTACATTTTATGGTATATTTCCTTTTGTTTGTTTCTTCTTTTACTTTTCAATTATCTTTAACAGTCTGTGTCACCAACACGCCATTTTTTTTTTCCATTCCATAGTGCGCATTCAATTTTCTATCCACTAGTGTCCATTTACCATCCTGTGACACTGATTGGTGAGATTTCTCCCCTTGTGGTGAGGTTTCCTGCAGGCAGGCTTGCTTCTGACTTGCCATCTGAGATGCTACCATGTGACAATAAAAATAGTATAGAAAGAGGACATAGCTCCCCTGCCTATGCAAAGGGAACTGGTGTTGGACAAATGACCTTATGTCACAAAGTATAACTTTCAATGGTTGCCGTGTCCTGGCTAATTGATAAAACGCAGCATGATCTTCAGAGGATGTCTCCACCCGCTGTGCACCTTCTGCTAGCAATTCTTAGGAATGATTGTCATTTACTCCTGGGGAGATCAAAGAAACAGCTCTTCAAAGGCATCCATCCCCAGATGATCGCCAGCATCACGAGAAGTCCTGACTCTCTCCAATAAGCTTGCACCCTTCCTAGTAGATAAACCACATTACACAGAGATCTTCGGAATATTGCTAACATCCCCTTATATTCCTACTATGGTGGTCTGTTAGAGGTCCATCTCTTTAGACAAAAATATAGCAACTTGCATTTTCAAATCATTTGGACTAACCAATAGATAGGTCTTCCCTAGCTCTTACTTAAAAGTTCACATTGTGGACCCTCCCGGGTGGTGCAGCAGGTTAAAGCACAGCACTACGAAGCTAGCCACAGCCACTTCAGCACAAGTTCAATCCCTGCCAGGGAGATGACCCCCATGGCGCAGCAGACCTCTTCTGTCTTGCCCACTGCCCCCCTCAGCAGTGTACTTCATCGATCTGCCTGTTCTGCTCCTCACTTTGTCTCTGGGGAATCTTCTCACCCCCTGCACCTCTGGCTAGTACCCTAGTACTGCATGCACAAATACATAAATCTTTAAAGAAGAAAAATGCTCACATTATGCCATTTGCATTTTACACATGCCTACATTAATACCTGTTTTCACTAACTGGTAGAAACCCAAGCAGCATTTTACTTTTGTGACAAAAAGCAAGAAGTAAAACTATCATCAGCATTTGTTTTGCAGCAGCTACTCTGGGGTAGCCGCTACCCCCAGGCAGCCAGCGTGGGCCAGACAAGCTCCTCCCCGGAAGTACTTTTCAACTGTCTGTGTATTTATCATATCGTTCCTGCCTCTACTGTACGTGAGTATACTTTTAGGTTTCTTGTGTGTTATTTAGCATGATTTGGTAGGTTGATTTTGGGGACCGGGAATGCTTGAAAGATTTTCAAATCAATGAATGGTACTTGTTTCTTTACTTTCTGTCAGGTTGGCTTATGGAAAAAAGTTCACAGGAACACATAGGAAAGTGCTCACAAGACCACCTCACCTTCAAATAGCAGAGACACCTATACACCCTTTTCAGTAAACCATTTGAGAAATCAGGTGTTTTATCGGGCAATTTTGTTTTATATTTTCTTTTGTATTTTTATGGACTGAAGATTCTCTGATGCCCTCATGCCATCTTACTTTCTTTCAACATTAGAATTCCCAAACTGATTCTGATTATTTCCCCCTGACCAAGGGTATTTGTTCCCATGATTGGAAAACAGTTTTAGAAGTCACAAGTAGTAGTTCTACAAATAGGCTTATTCCACATGCTTATTGGAATATAACAGGATTGCAGCAAAAATATCCATCTGCACAAATCACTATGGAAGAAGAATAGACAAAGCCTAGTACTTAAAAAATGTCTATGAATTCTGATTTGTATTTCCAACTAACCTCTACCTTTTTAAAATTTCACATAAACATCAATTCGTTTTGAATATAGGTATATTCCATGCCATATTTAGTAAATACTTATACTAAAAAAAGTTCATTATTTATTTTCCTTGATTGTATTTCTTTTCTTGTAATTCACCTCTATTTTAATGAGCTTTTTTCTTTCCTTATTCTAATAGAATAGCTTATTGATCCACTTTTTAAATTTTTGAACATTTTTTCTGGTTTTCTTTTAATGTTAATGAAAATAGACATATATATTATTTTATACTACATTATACTACGGGACTGTATTTCACTGTTGCCCCCCAAAAATCAGAAGGTTGCCCATCTTTTCCTCTACCTTGACCTTCAACTCAGCTGGCTTCACAGTATGCAGCTCCCATGGATTCTTCCATCAGCATCCTCTTAGCTCTGCATCTGGAAGGAAAACCCTGCCTCCCTCTAGGGGAATATCAAAGAAACTAAGAATTTAGTACACTCAGTGTGATACATAGATACTTCTTCGCCACAATAATAATAATTAAAAATAATAATGATAATAAAATGTGTAACATAGAAAAATCCTTTATCAAAGTGTCCAGAGAAATCTGTCAACTTGCTCCACTTGAGCTCCTCAGTTTGAATTTAGTTTATTTCCCCTTGGTATACTTTTATTCTCTAGAATCATTTTAAATTCTGAAGTAGCATTTTTACTTAAAAAAAAAATTAGTTTCACACAAGCCAACGGACCCATGCAGTAGTGTGTTCCTTACTCACAAGAGTCAACTACGCACATCCCCTAATTCTGCTTTCAGAGATGTCAGGTGCAGAGCTTGAAATTGGCTGTAGTGCAAGCTTTTACACCCTGAGGACTGGCAAACACTATGAATCAGGATTTCCAGAGAGCCAGTTGTTAAGTATTTTCCAGGACAACTGGGTATACACCTCAGTCTTTCTAATACCCATCACAACATCAGGTATAAAGATCGATTGAGATCTAGAATTATCAGAGTAATGTACCGGTTGTGAAGGTTGAGAAGCCCCACTTTAGAAGCTTATATAACATCTTTTGGGGGTTTCGTATAATTTCTGCAACAGTCAGAGTAATGTTCCCCAGAATCAAGCCTTCAAAGTATGCAAGTGAATTAACGCACATTTTCATTAGGATCGCCAAGGCACATTATACTTAGTCACCCGCAAGCTTCAAGTAATTCCCAGATATTCTTGATCCATTCCCAGAAGGTTTTATTTCCACAACAGACAAACAGGCAATTCAGTCATTTCTAGTTATTAACATTTCTGTGCTACTACCCAAAGTTTTTACATGAATTAACACATATTATGTTATCGCCTCTCCAATTCTGCACTCTGTAGTAACTGAGCATCTTCTGGATTCCTTGGAGAGAGCCCACAAGCTTTGAGGATGGGTCTGACTTGGACAAAATCTAAAGATGATTGAGGGATGTGAAGTTTCCCTGGGGGGCTTAGTGGGGCCCCCCGCTAATTGCTCTTCCTGGTGGCCCTGGTGTGCCCCTTGCTGTTATTCCCAGGAGCATAATGACCTCACCTGTCTCACTGCTGGAAACTGTGGTCAAGATTCTCACTCTGTTGTTCATTTAGCACCTGAATATAGGCAGGAGAAACATTTCTACCTTAGGCTCTGTGTAGTTCAATGCCCCTGCCTTTTTATTGCCACTTCCGCAGCGAGCCATGGCTTCCGCAGGCGGAGAAACAGGGACCCTCTGACCTCACCCTGCTAGCTGCCTTGGTGGCGAGAGGGCTGGGCCTGAGGTGTCCTGAGCTACATCTCATTGGCTCTACCGCTCTTGCTCCCTGCTCTCTGGTTTCCCCTCCCACCCCAGGACATCCTCCTGCCTTGCATCCCTGTTCTCACTTGTCCTGAAAGTTGGCCAGTTAAGGACACAGGGTTGTGTCATAGGTGGTGCTTCAAGCACCTGCCTGTGCTAGGCAGCCCCAGCTCCCAGCACACGTCTGCTCCAGACACCCTCTCTCTCCTTTGCTCTCAGTTCCCTCCACCTCTGAATACTGTCCATCTTACATCCTCCACATTCTGCAACATTCTGTTATCTTCTGTTTTCCTGCCTATCACTAAAAGAAGGTTGGGAGGGAGGGGTGTACACTAACTCATCCCCCAAAATTTTCCCCCTGTCAGAAACCAGCAAAGCTGACTCTGAGCAGGTGTTTTGTTTCATAAGATTTGTAACTTTGGAGGGGCCCGGGGCTGATCACTGGTCTCCCACTTCTCTCTCCAAACACAATTGTGTCTGACTAATATGGTTAACCATTTCTATAAAGTTTTTAATTTCTGGCGTGTCTTCAAACCAGCAATTATTTCAAATCTTTTCAATTTCCAAAAAAATAGATAGTTGTTGGATAGCCCTTTATTTTATAGTCATTTTGAAAACTTGCATTACAGGGAGCGTGTGAGAGCTTATGGTTTCTGCTTATCGGGCAATTAGAGGATGGTGAGTTGTTAAAATTTATGCAGAGTATCATATTGCAATTATCATCTACTATTCACTTTTTATATTCCTCATTTTGTTTTCCAAATTTATCTATCTGTTGTAGGTGTATCTGATTCATTTGTTTTAATTGTTATTTAGAACTTGATTCATGAATATTTCACTATTGATTCACTTTCCTATTGGCAGACATTATGACAAACATCTTTCTATTTCTATTTCTGATGGAAAACAACACTTCACTGAACAGATTTATGTGACTCTCCTTTGTCTATAAACGCAAGGTTTCTCTAGGCTGGGTGCCTAAAATTACAATTGTTTAATCATCAATTATACAATATGCTGCTTTGCTAGTATCCCTGGTGGTGTCGTATAGTTTATAAATTCTCATTGGAGGCTTATGGGAGTTTTCCCTATATTCTTGCTGATAATTTTGAATTTTCGACACTCTGCTGGTTGTACAATATCCCTGAGGAAAGATATATGTCTTCAGATTGAAGAGACTTGAGTCCTAAACAAAATAAATTTTAAAAAATCATACTTAGTGACACCACAGTGAAACTTCAGAACGCCAAAGACAAACAGAAAAAAAATCATAAAAGCAGCCAAAGAGAAAATATAATTTACTTACAATGGAGGGACACGGAGACAGAAAGCAGATTTCTCCTTGGCAATGACAGAGGTCAGAAGACAATGGGGTGGTGTCTTCACAGCACTGCTGGGGGTAAGAAACCGTGAAACTGAAGTTGGATTTTATTTTCCCAGGGGTTAGTTCTATGCATTCTGGGTTGACCTCCCATACCTTCTTCAGAAGTAGATACTGAAAGGGATGGGCCTGGTCTAAAGCTGAGTAAACCCGACAACTTCATGCCCTCTGGTCACACAATTCGTCCAAAGAGTGAGCATGTGAGCAAAGAAAGAAAGAGTTCTAAAAGCAGCCAGTCTGTCCTCTTCACGCACTGGAGATGCAGGCTCTTTCTCTTGTCCACTAGCTCGTGAGGGCCTGACAGGACTCTTTCCAGAAATAGAGACAGAGAGAGAGAATCTAAGAGGTTCTAGTCAGTGTTCATCTGTTCAATGAACAAAGGTGTGGGAGTGGTGGGGCCAGGGCAAGTGAGGTGTCTAGACTGGAAAGGTTTAGCCCAACCACCGTGAGAGATGAGAGGCAGAAAAAGCAATTATTGGATGAAAGCATGGGCCACCAGGATGAGCTTTGATAGGCACCAGCTGTCAACAACTCCGCAGTTCAGGAAACTGAGCAATTCCATTTGTATCCACACCCTCCCCCCCCCCAACACGCACAGGCACAGGAGCCATATGGATCTGACTGTCCTGTGGTGTATATCTTATGTTCTTTTTATTCAAACTAAAAACAGCATAGTTCATTTAAATCACAGAATTCCAGACTGTGTGAGAACATCACTATATATCATTGTTCTAAATCAGTTATCTCCCAGTGGGAGTCTAAGAGGTTCAGAAAACAGAGCTGCCTTAAGAAGTGGCTTGATAGAGCTTTGTAAGGTGATATATGTGCACTAAAGCTTTTTCATTTTCACAACAAATTTGATTTCATAAGCCGGAAGAAGGGGGAATAGAAAGACACGCCAGTCCAACCTGCTCTACTCTGGTAAGGAACAGCACAACATTCGCCCCTACCATGAGCCCTGTACCTCCACCTCACCTATCTGCAGATGATTCTGAGAGAAGGGAGGGCGCCTTTCTACCCCAGAGCTCAGGGAGAAGCAGAAGAAGCAAATAGAAGAGAATCTCTGTCTCTCTCTCTCACTCGCTTACACACAACCTTACACACACACACACACACAGTGCTAAATGTTCCCAGATCTGTACTGAACTCCTACGATTCCCTTATTAGGACCCCAAGAGCTCACTGAAGGGAAACTTACACCAGAAGAAAAACGAAGGCTCACATGAAAAACTGGGTTTTCATGGCTAAGGACTGGAGATAATGCAAGTAGCAGCAAATGAAAACTAGAAATGGAAGCAAACTACAGGAGTAGATCCAGCAGTGACATTGCCGTCCTAACACAGGCGAGCTTGTCTACGAGGTACAGGGACACCTTGGCACCTGATGTGAGGGAAGTCAGCAAAACTGGGATTTGAGACATGGAGCCAGAGTGCACCTGGCTGGGGTTCAGCATCCCCTCTCCGGGGCCATTCTTGGTCACCCGTCCAAGAGACCCACTTGAGTCCAAGTGGTGCTGGTCCGGGCTGAATCTCAACGGTGGCTACAGAGCTAGAGAAGGCCGTGAAGAGATGGTGTAAAGCCCAGGAAATAAAAATACCTATTAATAAAAGACATTAGTAGCACTACTAGAAATCTAAAAACTGAGATTTTTGTGAATTTCAATTAAAAAAATCATGTGATGAGGAAAAGAGAAGAAAGGAAGACAGGAGCTGGAAGAAGAGGAAGGAAGGATGCTGGAGAGCCTGGGTCTGTCCTCAGCTGCCCTCCTCTCCGAAGGAGGTGGTGAGCAAATCAGGCAAGCTCTAAGTCTCAGAGAGAACTGGGAGCTTAGAAAAAATAGTGGCGTTGAACTCCTGAATAAACTTGCCTTCCTTTAGAACCGCTCAATCTTGATATTTGCACCGAGAGAAAAATCACAGGGAAGAAAGTAGATGGGATCATTTTAAAAAGAGTTAGCATGCCTTTTGCAGCAACATGGATGGAGCTGGAAGGGATCATGCTTAGCAAAATAACCCACAAAGGGGCTATCCCTGGTGGTGTAATGGGTTAAAGCACGGCATTATGAAGCTCTCCAAAACCACTGCAGCACGAGTTCAATCCCCGGCCAGGAAGCTGACTCGCGTGACGAGGCAGACCTCTCCTGACCCGCCTGCTGCTCCCCTCAGCAGTGTACTTTGTCAATCTGCCTGTTCGATTCTCCACTTTCTCTCTGATGAATCTTCTCACACACCACACCTCTAGCCTGTACCCCTGTTCTGTAAGCATAAATAAAATCTTTTAAAAAAAACCCACAAAGAAAAAGAAAAATACTAGATAGTTTCACTCATAAAGGACTGGGGGTGGGTGGATAATAATAATGAACAACTATATACCAGAGACATTTCATGGAGGTGGA